ATCAAATAAAACATGTATATGATTTTGATTTATTTACTTTTTCCTATGATAAATTCTCTTGTAACCGTTGAACTTTATCGGAAATCGATTTATCAATCGAATATTTCTTGTTCTTTTATTGCTAACAATTCACTATCAAATCACTCATCAATTGACGAATGTATTCGTACATGTGTTAATCAGTTTTATTGTCAAACAGCAGTTTATTTCAAAGATGAAAATATTTGTTCAATGTTTGCAGAAGTTTGTAACAAAGATTCAATAAAATCATCGGAAAATACTTCTGCAACTGTTATTTGTTATAAAAACGATCATCGTAAGATATGCATCTTTTGTAGAATAAAATGAATGAAGCTATGTATTTTTTTTTTCTTAGAACTAATTCCAACATGTTCTTCAACTGTAGATCAAGAAACAACGTCAATTTCAAGTGTGGTAACGAGCTCGATACAAAGTGTGATTTACATATTTTTTGAAGTGTTGAATTTACTGAAACTTTGTTTGTTTTAGGTGTCGCATCAACAACGGAAAGTACAACAACAACATCAACAACAACAACAACAACAACGACAACGACAACGACGACAACAACGACGACGACAACAACGACGACGACGACAACGACAAAAACAACGACAACGACAACAATCGGTAAAGTTCTTTTTTTTCTTGCTTTCTCATCTGATACTATGGCACTGCAAACGTATGTGTCATTTATTGTTAAGAAAAATAAACTGTATATTGAAAGAGAAAAGTGAATCGATTATTTATGCCTAATAGATTCAGTAGTGAAAATCATTCTTCAAAATAAAACTATCATTGACAATTTTTTTCATTATTCATCAATTTATGTAGTTTGTTCTATATTTAATATTCTTATTGGATAAATCATTTTTGATTTAGTAACAGCTACTCCACCATGTTCACCTCAATCAAGATCGACTGGTGTGCTACTTGACATCACACAACCATCGTCAAGTAACTATCCATTGTACGATTGTCATGCGTATACTTGGGTGGCCACTGGAGCATCAACAACATTGTCTTTCTTTTTTCGTCAAGATGCCGGCGGTTGGATGTTAGATGATGTTAATGTCTATCATGGCACCACACAATTAATCATCAATGGAGATTTTGAAACAGGTAATTTAAATGCATGGAATTACTCAGGTTCGTGTTTCTCCAGTACAGGAGAGGCTTACTATGATAGTTCTGGTGCCAAAACAGGGAATAATTACTACTACGATCGATGCGCATTATATAGTGGTGATAGGATAAGTCAAACGTTCTCCACGGTTGTCGGTGATACATATGTTATTAGTTTTTGGTTGACTAATTATAACTGCTGTTTATTAACTGAATTTGCAATTGTTACAATTACTTAAATAATGAGTAGTCTTCAATTTAAATCAACAACTTTTTCATATCGTAGGTGATTTAACTTCTAGTCCATCATGTGATCTGTTTTATCCGCAATTATAATACCACAGGGTGTGGAGGTAAAATAGATGAATTTCCTTATTCACCTTGCTTCTAATCTTATTCCATTTAAATAAACAGCATCATTGTATTCATTAAATCTTCAGAGTGGGTGTAGGTGTGGGTAGATATTAGTTAGAGATAACATCCACTCACACCCACACCCACACCCAAATGAAAACATTTAATAAATTTAGATATTTCTTATTTTTAATTAAATGTTTTTTGAAATATCTTTTTGTCAGTTTCATTAATCTTTTTCATGGAAATATTATTGATGAACAGAATAAATTCGATTTCTTCAATAATTAAACTAATTTGTTGTATTATATTTATTTCATATGACAATTTGAAGATATAGGTGCACATTCACACCCTACTTTTTCTTTTGATCTTAGTCCAGATCAATTATTATACTAGGTATTAGGAATGTGAATCTGATAAAATAAATACTGATGTTCATATAACGTCTTTATCCTCCCAAAGATCCTATTCATACATCCTGCATAATCGCTCATAATATCATTGCATCTAATATAAATCACTATTTTTCAACATGAGGTTCTTTTTCAATTTAATTATTTTTTATGATAATATTAATAAAAATATTAAATAATAATAATAATAATTATTACAGTTAAAAGTATCCATTAAAAAAATCAAGTATGTATCAGATAATTTATTATAAACTTGAAAATGATTGAGTTAAAATTTTCAAATTTATACAAGAGTATCATCATATCGTCTCTAAATATAATTGACAATAGGAAATCATAATTTTTATAATAGATTATTTCAGAAATATTCTAGCTTACTCTTAATTTTTCATTGTCATCATTTTTTTCACTTTCTTTATTCTTGTATGCTCCCGAGCTAATATAATTTTCTTGATGTCTTCGTCTCTCTATATAAAAATCGTTCAGTAAGAAAATATTATACAAGACATAACAGTAATGAAACTACTTACGTCTAGTTGCTTCTTCCAGCTCCAACTGTCGTTGATCTGTATCTTGAATAAAATCGCTGACCTACAAAAAAAACATCTTTCTATTTATATTGAAATTTAAATAGAACAAACCAATACAGGTGAGGATGTTTTTGCACGAATGTGCAAATCAGGCGTTATAGTTACGTTTTTCTGTTGATCTATACTAAACTTTAACGTATTTCTATCGTCTTCATGATCATAAATCAAATCTATTTTTATCGATGGGGTAATCAATCTAAATAAATTTTCAAATGTTGTATAAATAGAGTAGTTTTTCTTAGTGTTATATTCACTTGATAGCATATGATTGTCCTTGTTGTATTGTTAATAACTCATGTGAATAATTACCACTTGTATTACATAGTTTTCGTTCGTTTCGTATACCATTGGTGGTCGCATATTGTGTACCAACATGTACTTTACTCGTGTCTTGATTTTTAAAAAACATAAAAGAAAAATCTCTTTGAATGAGTTAATATAATGAATAAGACATTCAAATTACCTTTATTTTTCGTGTCGTTAGAATTAAGTTCATTAACACATGAATCCGATTTTTGATTTTGCCTAGGAAAGATATAAAAAAGAATGTTTTATATTTTAGTCATATTTGTATTATTTTTACACTGGAATGATACGTTTAGCACGTCCAACACTTATTGTAACCTTTTGACTTTCTTTGCATGCTAATTCTATACGTTTTATTGCGCATACACGTGTAACAAATCGTAAATCATATTGTTTTTTCTGAAAAAAATGAATGTATATCAAGTAAATAAAAATGTCTTTATCTTATACCGTCGATGCAATTTCTAATAATCGATCTCCTATTTCTAATTGTGTACCAGTTTGTTGTCGACATGCATTCGTAATAAAGATACCATGATCACTCAAATGATAAAGAAAAAATATATTATATATGTATATATAAGACTATTCGTAATATTTACTTTGGATAAAATTGAGTACCAATTCCACCTTTAAGTGTAATACCTAGCTTTCCATCATGTTGTTCTATATCGATTTTTTTAGTTATCGGTGGAGATAAACGACGTATTAGCTGCATAAAATATTTTTCAAAAGGGTAATAATCTTAAACTTTTTATATTTATCATGTTTTACATACCAATTGTACTTTCGGTCCTCCTCTTCTGAGTATACTCAGAGCTTCGTCACGTTTAATATTTGTAAAATTAATATCATTAACACTCAGTATCATATCATATACTCTAATAAAATCGATTCATAATTTAAATAAAGTGATAGATAAAACATGAATTTTACTCACTTTAATCGTCCATCTCTATACGCAAGAGTATTTTCATTAATCTTTGTAACAATGATCGATGTAAAATC